GCTCAGTGCAGCCTCGACCTCCTCAAAGCCAGGATATCTTAAGAGAATTTTTTAAAACCATATAGTCCCCTTTTTTGTTTCAACCAATCTCTTAAGTATTACACAAAACTCTGATTCAGATGAATATTGAAATACACTTTGGGAAATGCTACTATTATGATAATTATAGTAATAATTTCCATTGAGTACTAATTACCGTCCATCACTCTGGCTCTGTGTACTTATAATTTTGCCTTCACAACAGTCTTATTATGTAAGACGAACTTGTGGCACAGAGATGCTAGGTAGTTTGTAGAAGTAATGTGGTTAGTATCAGAGGGAGGGATTGAACTGAGGCAGCCTGATTCCAGGATCTAAGCAGCTGACTTCTCAATCCTCACACCTTCCTAATTTATTTGATCTTTGACCTGTGAATGTCTAAAAAGTATTTTAACTAATAGGTATTGTCATATCTTTACAAAGGGATCTTCAATCTCAGAGCAGAAAAAGACTATTTCAACATTATTTAGTGCATTTAACTGTAGAATAAAGCAACTGTAAGGAAAATTAGTTAATATTCTGCAAAACCAAAGGATGGTCAGACGCACCTAGATCATTTTTGGGGAAGATTGTAAAAAGAATGATTATTCACTTTTCTACATCTGTGACAAAAGTCCTTTAGCACCCTAAGGCCAGGTGTGGTGGCTCAACGACTGTAATCCCAGCATTTTGGGAGGCCAAGGTGCGCGGATCGCTGGAGCCCAGGACTTCAAAACCAGCCTTGGCAACATGGCAGTCTAGACCCCCGTCTCTACAAAAAAAATAACAAAAATTAGCTGAGCATGGTGGCATGCCTCCATAGTCCTAGCTACTCAGGAGGCTGAGATGTGAGGATAATTTGAGCCCAGAAGGTCACGGCTGCAGTGAGCCATGATTACACTACTGCTCTCCAGCCTGGATGACAAAGTGAGACCCTGTGCCCAAAAAAAAAAAAAAAAAATCTCTTAAGACTCTTCAGTGTAGAGGCAAGATTATGAGTCTCTCAGGCACCCTGATTCAGTGATGCAGGTGACCCCCCATTGTTTTCACCATGAAGGTTGTCGTTTAATTTTGTGCGTGCCTGAGTGCTGACAGATAAAGAGAATTTATTGAGGCCTGGCACTTTGCAGTTAATTTACATTTATTATATCAGTAAATCACAACTCTTTCAGAAAATACTATTATGACCATTTATGAAATTTTCTTATTTATAAATCAGAAAATTGAGGTTCAGAGAGGTTAAATAACTGTCTCAATTACCCAATGTTCTAGTAAGTGTCAGGCCCTGGATTTCACCTAGATATCTTGACTGCAAAGCCCATTCTTAGGTGTCACCTTGTGTCTTTGAAATGTTCATGTGAGGCATCTAAGTGCAGGTGAGCTCTTACTGTGGGTTTCCTGCTTTATGTGTGTGGTTTCTTCGTGCTCTTTTAGGGCTTTGCTTCTGAGACCTTTTTATACAGTGACTGCTCATAAACTGAGTAGCAAAGATTGAAAGAGGTAGGCTTGTCATCTGAAAGATGCAAGATAATGAAAAAAGGAGAATAAAATAGAATGCCACGGTGGGTGGAGGAGAAGTTGAGTGGGGCAATAGGTAGACAAGGGTTAAAGATGAGGAGAAAGGATAGAAGAGGCTGTGGTTTCCGTACATTATTACTCTTATTTACCGCCAGTGTTCATACTCAGAATATTTTAACCTTGACATAGGAATACTTAATTTAGTATACTACTTCATATATTTTTTAGAGTAAAGTAGAATAAAATAAGTTTTATGACACTTGGCAGATAAGCAAGCCTCTCTTAGTCTCAGCTTCATTGATTTTGTGCGTCAAAATCTTTGGGTAATGTCCACGAGACATCAACATAGAGGTGGTGGTTAAAATCATCAGCAAGGATAAAGTTACCTGGGAAGGGTATTTGGAGAAAGAATAACAGTGGACCAAGGGCAGAAACTCTGTCATCCCTCCATTTTCTGAGGCCAGAAAGGAGCAGAGATGGAATTCCCCAACACTCTAGGAGAGACGATTGTCTTAGAAGCCAAGAGATCCAGTGGAAATGTCCCCCAGGCAGTAACCTTAGTTAAAGGCCAAGTTATAAGAAATAAATTAAAAATTAGGAAGTATAAGAAATGAACCAGAGAGTCCAACTGCTGTTTAGCTGCAGCCAGTTTCTGCCGCTGTGAAATGTAGGCCTAATGGGCCAGAGCTGCTGCTGCTTTTTTTTTTTTTTTTTTAAAGTAAAACTGAATTTTTACCCCCAAATTCCCAGTTTTTAATGTTATCAACTAATTCAGATTTTTTAAAAAATACAGTTTTTGACTCAGGCAAATTAGTATCTATGGGAGATATATATGTTTTTTTCCTATGGGTTATATTTGTTCTGCTGGGCACTAGTTTTGAATCTCTGAATAGTGTTTGTTTTTTTCAAATGGAAAACATAGTCCAGAAAGGCCCTGTAAGATAATTACATGGCAGTATCAAGATTGTTGGTCTTCATTGATAATCTTTTCCAGAGCAGTTGCCTGGAAGGGTGAGGACATGACTGCATTGAGTAGTAAATGGGAGATGAGTGACATTAGCAAGGGTAAACAAAGACACGTGGTTGAAGAGAGAGAATGATTGTTTACATGGGGGACATGGACAAAGAGGAGTTACAGTTATGTGCCTTGTTACATTTTTAGCTCACGTTCAAAGTAACAAAAAACAGTTCCTACCTTTGTATTTACAGAGTATATTTATTTAATGCTATGTGTGAATGATCCTAACATTCTGTCTCTCCCACCCCCAACCAATTTTACAGCTTTTTTTCCACTTGCAAAGAGAACGGTCCTTTCCTGAGCACAGAGCTAGGTTTTATACTGCTGAAATTGCTAGTGCATTGGGTTACTTACACTCCATCAAAATAGTGTACAGGTACAATTTTTAAATATACTTGTAAAAATTATATATAAGAATATTTTATTTCAGTTTGTATTCAGTTTTGCTTTTCCTCCCTTTTAATTTGGTAGAGACTTGAAACCAGAAAATATTCTTTTGGATTCAGTGGTAAGTATTCCCTTTTAAAAATCTACTACTTCTCAATTTTTGTTGTTGTTTTTATGCTTAGTGCAAAAAAAGTCTCAGAGATTCTGCACTGCGTTATTTCATTCATATAACATTCTCAAAATGACCAAACTGTAGAGATGGAGAACAGATTAGTGGTTGACAGGATCCAAGGGGATATAGAGTGCAAGATAAAGGAGCCACATGAGGAAGTTTCTTTGCAGGTGAACAGTTTTGTGTCTTGATTGTGGTAGTCATTACATGAATCTACACATCTGTATTTCATAGAGCTACACACACACAAAGCATGCATGTAAAAAGTGAAAACTGAATAAGGTTGACAGTCTGGTTAATAGTATTTTACCAGTGACAATTTCCTCTGTATACTATTTTACAATTTCATGTGGATCTACAATTATGTCCAAATAAAGGGTTTTAAAAATTGTCAATTTATAGCCCGAGTGTGGTGGCTCACACCTATAATCCCAGCACTTTGGGAGGCCGAGGTGGGCAGATCACTTGAGGTCAGGAGTTCAAGACCAGCCTGGGCAACATGGCAAAACACCGTGTCTACTAAAAATACAACAATTAGCCAGGTGGCACGCGCCTGTGGTCCCAGCTATTCAGGGGACTGAGGTGTGAGAATTGCTTTAACCCAGGAGGCAGAGATTGCAGTGAGCCAAGATCACACCCCTATACTTCAGCCTGGGTAACAGAGTGAGATTCTGTTTCAAAAAAAAAAGAAAATACTGAAAAATTGTCAATTTATATTTATGCATTGTTTTATCTTACTGCCCCTGTATTTGTCAGGGACATGTTGTCTTAACAGATTTTGGGCTTTGTAAAGAAGGAATTGCTATTTCTGACACTACTACCACATTTTGTGGGACGCCAGAGGTAAGAAATATATCTCATTTGTCATTCATGTAATCATGTATAAAATGCAAATATGAAGTACAAATTGCATATATAAATTTAAAATGAGAAAAGTAGAATAAAAACTGTCATTTCAGCTCCCAGCCAGCTGAAAATATCTGATAATCATGCCTTGGTAGTTAGGTATTTTTAACTGTGATTGTTAGATACTGCAAAACCCTTTTGAATAATCCAACAAAGATAAATTGTATTTATTTGTTTTTAATGTTAAAAGTTTACTTTATATTTTCTTACACATTTAATTATATTTTTTGTTTTTAGAAAATTATATTTCTAATT